TTGTTCTTTGGTAGGATGGCTTTGAAATGCAGCCATGCTTGTATGTAACATGGTTTATGCGTAAGAAGAAACTCAGTCCTCGGGGTGACAAAAGTAAGATGTTAAAAGTAGCAAGAGAAGACCGATAGATTTCCTAGAAAAGACCAAAATCACCTCCCAAGAAACTTAAGGAAAAACATAATAGACCAGTGACATCAGATGTTGCAATATTTTCAAATCCATAGTTTCCCACAAAATAACAAAATTTAAAACATTGATTCAATAAGCTTTGGTTCATCAAGCCTACTCCTCTTAAGTCTTATTGTAGGGTCTTCCTATAGCTTGATTTCTAGAATTAATGACACTGCTGACATCCAAAGAAAACACCGGCTATACAGTGGTACTTGGTTACCAAACGGCTTAGTTGTTGAACAAATTGGCTCCCAAACCCCGCAAACCTGGAAGTAAGTGTTCCAGTTTGTGAACGTTTTTCGGAAGCCGAATGTCTGACATGGCTTCCGCAGCTTCCAATTGAGTGCAGGAAGCTCCTGCAGCCAATCATAAGCCGCACCTTGGTTTTCGAATGGTTTCGGGAGTCGAATGGACTCCCGGAATGGATTAAGTTCAAGAACCAAGGTGCCACTGTACACATTTCAGGGGAAGGTTTTCCTTCAGTTTTGAACTGACTGTGACAGTATGGATAGAAAATTTGGAGAAATATATGAGCAAAACATCATTGTGCATAACATACAAAGAGAATGCTTGTAAGGCTGAAATGCTGTTCGTCTTTGATACGGAAGGGGGGGCATGTCTTCTTCACCTCCTTCTTCGCTACAATATATCCATTTATTTCCAATTGTCAATGTCAAATGGGACTAAAATCTACAAAATTCATAGAAAATCAACGTGCCAATTTGCTCAATTTCTCTAGGACTCCATGACACCTCCCCTGTCCTCCATAATCCCTCAAGCAAGGTGTCAAGACCCTAATCCTGTCAAATCACTCTGCCAAGCCTTTCCTCCGGGCAAGGCCAGGTGGCAGACCATGCATACATGGACCACTGTCTTCTCATCAGGTACTCAGGATGTGCTTATCTGCGCATATCTCCAGCTCTGCATATTCCCCCCTCCCTCCTCCATATGTTAATCCTGTGTTACCCAACCTCTTCTTAATGTATTCATGATGTAATCTGTGTAACCCAACCTCTTCTTAATGTATTCATGATGTAATCTGTGTAACCCAACCTCTTCTTAATGTATTCATGATGTAACTGGGATGTATTTTGCACTGTATTCTGGGACATGGAAGGAAATTTCAAAAGTTCATGTCACCCCTTTCTCGCTGTTCAATCTCGCCTTGAACCTGTTGCGCAATAAACTTGGATCTTCTGCAGTTTGCTCCTGTCTCCGGCTGAGCTCATTTTCTTCCGCAGGGACCTGCGGACCTAGTCCGACGAGCTGGGTGGCAGAGTAGCCCCGCACCCAGATTTTACCGTAACAGTTGGCGCCCCACGTGGGGCATGCGGTTCTCCCGAGCTGCTGACCGGGGCCCCCGAAATCTTCAGCCGGCTCCAGACCATTTTGCCTGGGAAGATCCTTTTGGACCCCCGGCCATCTTCCGGGCGGTAATCAAAAGCCCCAAGAGTTCAGCCGGGGAGCAAAGAGGGATCCAGCCGGCTTATTCATCGATCCCGGGATCACCGTTGAAGACGCGTGAGTATAAGGAAAAATAAATCCAGTGCACTGGTGGGTAGGGGGTGGTAATCTCCTGGCAACTGAATTCTCTGCCCTCCTCTCTATCGCTCCTTCTTACCTTTCTCTTGGTCCGGTTAGTGAGAGAGACCAGATTTTACCGTAACAGTCTTTGAAAAGAAACAATACTTCTGGGAAATGGTGAGGTTAAAGAAAGGAAATTGAGATACTGCCTTCTACACCAGGAGTCTTCCAGTCAGGGAATGGGATTTTGAAAAGAAGTCAGCTTTCAGAACAAGTAGTGATAACCAATGTTAGTCATCCTTGGAAAAGATCTGCTGAAACCAAAAGATTAAACTTAAGCCCATTGATGTCAATAAGTGTACTCTGTGTATGACTTAGTTGGCTATCACTCAAATAGTCTTTACGGGTCTTGAGGAATCAGCTAATGAAACCAGAGGGAATCTGCTTCCACCGGGTTGCTCCCTTCTGATCTTTGGGATGCCAAGTGAATCCTGGTATCACTCCTTTAAGGCATTCCTTTCAGTGACTCTTGGGATGCATCTGGGCGTAACTATAAATTATAATTTATCATGACATGAATGAAGCTAGGCCAGTCTAGGCTTGTGCACTCCTGCTCCCCTCTCTTTCTCTGGGCGGGCTGTGAAAAGGAGATTTCAAGGTTTTGCTTCTGTTTTTCGAACTAATCACAGTTTAGCATTATGTCAAAAACTGGACAAACTGTGGTGAGCCTTCGAGCTACGGTTTACTGAAACAAGCCAACTAAAAAACCTTGGGCTGTGTACACAATACATTTTATTCTAGAATCAATGAAGACTGAATAGGTGTGTTTTTTCTACACATTCTAGATCTATCACATATTTTTAAGTAGGGGATCCCTATTCCCTTCAAAGAGTTACAATTCCCAGAATGGCTTAACAACCAGTCCCTCTTCCCAGGGAACACTGGGAATTGTACCTCTGTGTGGGTAAAAGGGTATCCAAACAACTCTCATTTCCCTTAATAAACTACAGTTCCCATAATGCTTTGGGGGAAGCCATGACTATTAAAGTGGTATAATAGTGCTTTACATTTATGGTGTGGAAGTAGCAAATTGTTACTTTTAATCATAAGTAAAGTCTGAATGACTGGAGGGGGAAGGGTTGCTAACATGGTGGGGAACTGGGGTGGGGGAGAAAATAGATTTTGTTTGCATTTCAATTCGAATATGCAAAAATTGCACTTTTTCAAATCAATACGCTAACCAAAATCCTTCAAAATTCATACTTTTATGATGCAGTTCTCCAACAAAGCAGTGTGTATAAAATGCAAATATTAGTGATTAAATGTACAAAAATACGCTCTGCAGTATTCATTGACTAAGTCCTGTCCGTGCAATGACTACCACTAGCACAATGGGACTTTCCCTTTTCCCACCCCCACATGCCCCCCCTCCCCAAAACTACTCCAGAGGGTTGGAGGAATCCCTAGAACAGATTTGGAGGTGAGGAGGTGAGGAGAGGGGGAGAAAGTTCTATTGCATAAGTAGAAAATCCTTGCACTGATGGTACATTCACCTTAGTGCTACACTGGATTCTACCATATATATATATATATATATATATATGGGGAAATTGCTTGCAAAAATGAGTGTATGAGTCAAAAGTGCATTAAAAAAATATGTTCATTAGGAGAAATATGCACTACAAATACATCCAAGGAATGGAAGGCAGTATTTGTAGAGCCAGGGAATCATCCCCAGAATGTTTCTTCATCCTGAAACACGGATACCACTGAAAAGAGACTCCTCTTCATCATAACAGAAACTTGCCCAATATTCACTGAAGTTTAGGTGGGTTCCCACGAGACAAGACACAGCAATAACAGCAAGACCCTTTATTGAACTGGGAAACCGGGGTAAAGCTACTGCTTGTATACATTCCTGAAAGCCTGGGCCACTCCCACTCTCAACATGATTGGCTGTCTAAACTTCCAAGCTGCGAATCACGACTCAGAGTTCAAGGGCCAATGGCAGAGGCCCAAAACCTGAAATGTTCTGTGTATTGAATCAGAACACAGGAGCTCAGAATCCTTAGTCCAGACCCAAGCTCAGGCACAAATCACTGAATACATAACATTTATCCACTTTGCATACACCCACAAGAGTGGGGGTGGGGAGGAAATATGTTTGAAGCAGTCTTCAGTTATGAGCCTTCCATCTTTTATATGTTTCCAGCCATCAGCAGAGTGCAAAGCAATTTGTCTTTTGCCTATGATTTACGATGCAGCGGCAGAACCAATGCCGACATGCATTCGGAATAAAAAGCATGATTACAGTGTCTTGTGAGTTTTAGTTCAGGACCCATTACCAGTGGAAGAAAGACATCAACAAGCCATTTCATCACACAGACGTAGCAAATCAAACCACCATTATAACAATTCAGAAAATGGCTAAAACACATCAAGCCACGTTAAATTTCCTTGTCAGTTGTGATCTGCCTCAACGTTTTAATTGGCCAAAAATTCCAAAATGTATGCAGCAAGATAAATTTAATTCTGATAAATAACAACAACAACAACAAAACCCATTATTTGTTTTGCAATAAAACTGCAGTAGTTTCCTGAGAGCTACTATTTAATCAAAGTGTTCCAATCATTTGCACAGTACCTGTCAGTCGTCCCGATGTTTGGTTGTGGAGTGTGATATCTAGTCATATTAAGAGACACTGGAGATGCAAAAACCATTGCGTGTAGTGGGTAATTATTTTTGAAGATCCGCTTTGTACCATGTAATGCTATTCTTTGCTTTTCAAGAGAAGATTGCGTAAATGGAATTCACCAATGCTGAACTGAAAACAGAGGAGTATTATAATAAAAAAGATGGCTCTGGGAAATAATCAGAGTTGGGATCATCCTGGGCCTTAGATTAAATCAGGGATGAGGCGTCTGTGCCCCTCTTTATTTTTTATTTATTTAGGACTGCTACTCCCCTCATGCCTAACCACTGACCATGCTGGCTAGAGCTGATGGGAACTCTAGTGCAATGACACCTCTAGGATCACAGGTTCCCCACCCAGGCTAAATAATGGCAACATATTCTAAACTTTATTTTCTGACAATAATTTGCATTGTTTTTTAAAGACAGTGGTACCTCAGGTTACATACGCTTCAGGTTACAGACTCCGCTAACCCAGAAATAGTACCTCGGGTTAAGAACTTTGCTTCAGGATGAGAGCAGAAATTGTGTTCTGGCGGTGCGGTGGCAGCAGGAGGCCCCATTAGCTAAAGTGGTACCTCAGGTTAAGAACAGTTTCAGGTTAAGAACGGACCTCCGGAATGAATTAAGTACTTAACCCAAGGTACCACTGTACAGACTTGATGATAAAATACAGTGGTACCTCGGGTTAAGAACTTAATTCGTTCTGGAGGTCCGTTCTTAACCTGAAACTGTTCTTAACCTGAAGCACCACTTTAGCTAATGGGGCCTCCTGCTGCTGCCGCTGTGCCACCGGAGCACAATTTCTGTTCTCATCCTGAAGCAAGGTTCTTAACCCGAGGTACTATTTCTGGGTTAGCGGAGTCTGTAACCTGAAGCGTATGTAACCCGAGGTACCACTGTACAGACTTCTAGCAGAGACTTAAAAGCCAACTGAGCCCTGTGAATCGCTCAGTCGGTAGAGCTTGAGACTCTTAATCTCAGGGTTGTGACAGTGTGGGTGGGAAATCTATGTGCAGTTGTAGTGCCATTGCCACCACGTTGTTTTTTTTAAATGCTGATATGCAGTAGGGGGCAGGTGTGGTGTATATTTGGGTGCCTGGGTAGCCATGGGCATGGCTGCCACCCAAAATGGGAGCTGTCTCTGTATTGCCTGCTGTGAATGGGGTTGCTAAGGCTACTGTGGGCGTCTCCACACCTTCCACTGTGATTAGTTTCCTTTCCCAAGGCAGCACCCCTCCCACTGTGGCAGGATTCACAGCATATATGCACTTTGGCCAGTTCCTCGACTTTTTAGGCTGTACTCCCATTTACATTAACTGCTAGAATCTGACCCCATCTGCACTTAAAGCAGTATCATGCCTCTTTAAACAGTCACAGCTACCCTCAAAGAATTCTGGGAGGTGTAGTTTGTTAAGGGTGCTGAGAGTTGTTAGCGCACCCCATTCCGTTCCCAGAGCTACAATTCCCTTAGATCAGAGGGGTTGATTGTTAAGCCTCTCTAGAAACTGCATCTCTTTGAGGGGAACGGGGTCTTCAAACAAGCCCTTAACATGCCACAGTTCCCAGGATTTTTTGAGGGAAGTCTTGGCTGTTTAAAATGGTATGATAGTGCTTTAAATGTATAGTGTGTATATAGGGCACAATACAGATTTTAACCTCTGGGGAAAACTCTGGAAAAGTGACTCGACGTTTACAGCATGTTATTCAGGCTTCCTCTACCTTGGCCCTCCAGATGTTTTTGGCTTACAACTCCCATGATCCCTAGCTAGCAGGACCAGTGGTCAGGGATGATGGGAATTGTAGTCTCAAAACATCTGGAGGGCCAATGTTGAGGGCTGGAGGTTGAGGTTGAGGTTATTCTTCGAAGGAGAACTACCTGAAAATGATTTTCAGATGGTATTTAACTCCAAGTAAGCTTGCTAAGATGTATAAATCTGAATCAGATATGGTAAGTGCTGGAGATACAAAGAGGTGGAGGAAACGTTCTTTCATATGTGGTGGACTTGTAAAAGAGTACAGTGGTACCTCAGGTTAAGTACTTAATTCGTTCCAGAGATCCGTACTTAACCTGAAATTGTTCTTAACCTGAAGCACCACTTTAGCTAATGAGGCCTCCTGCTGCTGCCACGCAGCCGGAGCCCAATTTCTGTTCTCATCCTGAAGCAAAGTTCTTAACCTGAAGCACTATTTCTGGGTTAGCAAAGTCTGTAACCTGAAGTGTATGTAACCTGATGTACCACTGTATTGGGAAATGATCTATAATGAATTGGGGGAAAATGTTTAAAAGTACTCCCCCCCCCCAAACCAGAGTCCTTTCTGCTGGGGATAATTCAGACTGAAATTCCCAGGTGTCAAAAAAGGTTATTTATGTATGCCACTACTGCAGCCCGAGTTTTATTAGCCCAAAAATGGAAAACAAGTGAGGTCCCAACCAAAGAAGAATGGCAACTTAAGTTGACAGAATATGCACAACTTGCAGACTTAACATATAGAATAAGAGAACAAGAAGAACATACGTTTAAAGAAGATTGGAAAACGTTTATTAATTATTTGGGAAATAATTGTGTGCAGCTGAAAACGCTGGCAGCATTAAGATAAATTCAACAGTGTAAACAAGTTTTGATGGATGCAATAATGGAATACTGAATAGTATAGTTTTTGTAAGATATGCAGGGATTTGTGATATGTAAAAGGAACCATGGTAAGGGAAGAAGGGAAGTCATTGATACCTTAAGGATGTAAAGTGAGTGTTTTAAATTGTAAAACAGAAGGGTGCTGCGGACCAGCCATTTACCAGTGTTTCCTGATTTAAATGCAGGGGTGATGTGCTCCAGTTCTGGATAGTAGGGAGTCACACAGCCCGAAACCCAAACACTTGAAGCCTAAGGAAAGAAAGGTGGCTTGAGAAACAGAAGGGGCTTGCTAGAATAGGAGCTTGCTGGTGTTTCCCCACATAGTTTTTCTCTTAAAAGGATCCTGGAGCATTCCCGCCGCTGGCTTGGTTGCTGCGACACTGTGTAGTAATAAATGAACTATCAGAGGGAGTATTGGTATTGCATGGTCCCAGTCTGAGGCTATTACCATTTCACCTCATCATCTTGGAAAATGCAATGCTTGTAATGTAAAAACAACAGTGATGCTTTGAGGGATGACTTGCAGACTGTGTACACCAAACGAGAGAGAAATGCTCATTCATTGGACAAAAAAGGGAATTGTGCCATAAGACCCAAGCACCGCCCTAGAAGGGCGAAGCAGCGTAAGTAAGGTGGCAAAGGAACTGACATATTCTGTGGGATTTGTTATGTTTTAATTATCCTGCTCTTCTTCGGAGAGGAATTGCCATAGCAACTCTTCTGTTGCATAACTCTGCCTACTTTTCTTCTTCTTACCGATTCCAGAACAAAGATGTTAACTGTGGTTTATTTTAACTACTGTACTTGTTTAAACTACTGTACTTGTTTAAAGGACGCAGGCTTGCCGATCAGAAGGTCGGCGGTTCGAATCCCCGTGACGGGGTGAGCTCCCGTTGCTCGGTCCCTGCTCCTGCCAACCTAGCAGTTCGAAAGCACGTCAAAGTGCAAGTAGATAAATAGGTACCGCTCTGGCGGGAAGGTAAACAGCGTTTCTGTGCGCTGCTCTGATTCACCAGAAGCGGCTTAGTCATGCTGGCCACATGACCCGGAAGAACGTATAGAAGGACATGCTTATAGCAAATGGAAGATCCCTTTCATTTCTGGAAGAGGTTTTTCATAGGGGTAGAGGAAGGAGGAGGAAATGACCAAAATTGCTTTCCCCAGGCAGCTGAGTTTTACTCATGGGAACTCTGCCCCCCCCCCGAATATTAATATCCAATAGTCCCGGCCATTTTCATGCAGTTTCATCTAGTCATAATTAGTGGCCACCAGCTAGAGTCTAGTTTTGAAAGTATCATTGTAAAAGATGTTGGAATTGAAGCTTTATGTGCTCTCAAGAGTAAAAGGGAAATGTATTTGGCAAAGCAGACATCTTGGGAAAGAAGGAAGCAGCGTCACTTCCAGACAACCTGTTTATTGGGCATTGACTTTGATTTATTTGTGGGGAGGTTAGATGTTTTCTCCTGCTCCGGAGGCTAGGAGCCGAACCAATGGATTCAAGTTACAAGAAAGGAGATTCCGACTAAACATCTGGAATAACTTTCTGACAGTAAGAACTGTTGGACACTGGAACAGATTTTCACAAGAGGCAGTGGACTCTCCTTCCTTGGAGGTTTTTAAGCAGAGGTTTGATGGGCACCAGTCATGTATGATCTAGGTGAGATTCCTGCATTGCAGGGGGTTGAACTAAATTAAGGTTACCAGATTTTTTTCAAAGAATCCAGGGACACTTTTTCTGAAAAGAGAAAAAAAACATTTAAAAAATAATAATTATTTTTTAAAGAGAAGTAATATCTTCTCTTCTGTGGTCTCCTCTGTTGCGTGACCTTCCTCTGGGCCCCGGCCTGCTCTCTTGGAGTGCTAGCCGCCACGGAATAGGCTCTGGTCAGTCCTGGGCTCGGCCACGTGTCCTTGCCCTCCCGGTGCTCTCCTACTCATGTTAAACAAGTGTTATCCCACACTTTCCAGCACATTTTCCTGTCACTAACAAAACTGGTTGACATATAATTAAAAGTTTGGGGACTTACCAGTATTGTCAGTCCACCTTTGCGTTCCTTTTGAATTCTGAGTATCTATGAAAATGCAGGAAGAAGAAAAGTGAGTCGCGCCTACATTTATTCAAGGCATAGAGTCACAGAGTTGGAAGGGACCCTGTGGATCATCCAGTGCAGTATTTTCAAACTTAGGCCTGTTTTGGGACTACAATTCCCATCATCCCTGACCACTGGTTCTGCCAGCTAGGGATCATGAGAGTTGTAGTCCAACAACAGCTGGCGACCGAAGTTTGGGAAACACTGATCTTACTAGAGAAGGTAAAGGTAAAGGGACCCCTGACCGTTTGGTCTAGTCGTGACCGACTTTGGTGTTGCGGCACTCATCTAGCTTTACTGGCTGAGAGAGCCACCATACAGCTTCCGGGTCATGTGGCCAGCATGACTAAGCCACTTCTGGCGAACCAGAGCAGTGCATGGAAACGCCGTTTACCTTCCCGCTGGAGCAGTACCTATTTATCTACTTGCACTCTGACGTGCTTTCGAACTGCTAGGTTGGCAGGAGCAGGGACCGAGCAACGGGAGCTCACCCCGTCACAGGGATTCAAACCGCCAACCTTCTGATCGGCAAGTCCTAGGCTCTGTGGTTTAACCCACAGTGCCACCTGCATCCCTTACTAGAGAAGGTAGGGCTCCTTTAATTAAAGCAGCACCTTGCAATACTAGCAGATCTAATACTACTACGATATAAGGATGTAGGCTCAGTTTGTCCCTTGCTGAAGTCACTTCAGACTCTGGGTCTTTCCATGGAATACGCTACCAACTCAAAAGTCTTGGTTAAAGACTAACACATTTATTGTGGCATGTTTAGTGGACTTTTTTGTTCACTTCCACCTGCCAGGTGAAAAAAAGAAAGGCAGGTCCTGTATTTTAAGCAGGCAAACATTCAACAGGTTGAAGCACTCTCTTCATGGCTGCATCCTCCTGTCATGTGGCTGGGAACAGTACAGAGACTTACCAAGTGAGTAGCAGGGAGTAGTGATTTAAATGTAATTTGGCATATAGCAAACCAGACGTTAGAGGTTGTTTATCTAAACAACTTTGAAGTGATGCAGGTGGGAGAGAAATCCTTTCTGAAGGCCTTGCATGTTTACATGCCACAATTAATGTGGTATTTTACGTCAAGCGATAATCTTCAATTAGCATGCTTTAATAATGAGCATGTAATCAACACTTAGTCAATAATTTTCCACTAATTATATGGGACTTCAACTACTAAACCCTCCCTAAATCTTCATGGTATTTCAATCTCGAGATATGGTATTTCATGGTATTTCAATATCGTCTTAACAATTCCATGTTGTCATTGCAGTGGCCTTTTGTTCCCAGGCTTATAAAATGTTTAAAAGCCAAGATTTCAGCCAAGCCACACCTGAGCCAATCCTCATAATTGTATCAGCTTCCCCACCTCATACTATTTGCATTTTTTTTAAAAAAAAAATCCCTCATGTTAAATGCAAAAGAAGAATTTAGTATCAAGTCTAGTTATACCCTAAAGACAAATGCTTCAATTGGTTGATGGTGCTCAGTTAAATGTGGTAGTGTAAGAAGGGTGTGCATGGAAATTAAGCAATCCTGCTACCCTTGTTGCTCTGTTTCATACCTCAGGAAAAGAAAGCTAACTTGTCATGAGAACATTTGATGTCACTGTAGCTTAGAAACTGAAACAGACTTCTTATCCTCAGCATGAATGCATCTCCCTAACCCTGGAGGCAATTAGAACGTCAGCCTGATCATCACAATGACAGACATTGCAGTCCGAAGTCATCCTTCCAGATGTTTTCGACTCCTAACTTCCATCAGCCCCAGCTGTCACGGCCATTTTGGTCTCTTAACTCCCTTCAGCTGCAGCCAACACAATTCATGGGAATTGTAGTCCTAAACACCTTGAGGGCACCAGGTTGGCGAAAGGTGTGTTAGATGCTGACAGCTGCTAACAGCCATGCAACAGTGTTGACACCAGCAATGTATGACATCTCAGCTTTCAAGCACTGTCTGTGTATGAGCATTATTTTGTCAATTTCATTCAACCCAAAATTTCATGAGGGGCCATGTTCGAAAGGAATCCTTCCTTTGCAGAACCATGCTTCAAGGATCCTCTGGTCTTTTGCATCTGCCCAACCTTGATCACAGCAAGAATGGGCATTGCTTACGCTGGCTAACAGTCAGGGGATGATGGGAGTTGTAGTCCACAAACACTTGGAAGTCCACTCAGACTCTTGCATCCTGGTTCTATGGCCTTCTTGTGGAATATCTTGTATGGTTCCTGTTGAGAGCTATTATGATCAACTTTCAGAGCAAAACTACATGGCAGCCCCGCCCAGGCAGCTACTTGAAAGAACACTGGGCTCTTTAAGAGGGGTTTTAACCCTTTCATCTGTTAATAATTGCTCCCACCACCCACCCCAAACCGGGATGTTGGAAAAGCCGGAGAGATGGGTGAATCGTAATGGATCCCTTTATGAAGAAAAGGTGGCCCGCTACCTACATAAGGGCTCTCTTATAACAACTGTGTTTAGGATTGCAGCCACATGGCCTGCTGACAAGAATTTTTTAGGCTGTAATCCTGCAACCAGCTTGGCTGGTGGGAAATCCTCATGAATTCAGACGGAGCCTGCTTGAGGGGACGCACACAGAATTGCCTTGCTAAAGGACAGAAAAGTTTTATACAAATATATTGTTGCATTTATGTTTTTGTACAGAAAAAGAAGAGCATAATCAGGGTTAATAAAAATGTGGATAATGCAGAGATTTCCTTTCTAAAATATCCTCGTGTGTATGTAACCCCTGTCATTATTTATTACTACTGCTACTACATGACTTTTCTTTAGAAGGTTTTTCTCCATTCCGCCTTTTCCACCATCCCAGCCTGGGGGAGGATGTGTGGCAGTGGAGGGTGGGAAAGATGATTAGCAGAGGAAAGGGTTTTAAAAACCCTCCCCCAGAGCCCCCATCTTCTTCCAAAACAGCCGAACGCCTTGAGACCGGATTGCGTGCGGAAGGCGCGGGGTTGGCGCGCGATTGCACCCGGGGAAATCCTAGCGCCGTCGGAGAAAAGGGAAGCAGCTTCGCAGTGGGGCAACAGCCACTTTCTTCTTCCAGAGGATGGAAGCCGTAGCCCAGTACGATTTCCAACCCCGCAACTGGGACGAGCTCAGCTTCCGACGGGGCGACCTCCTGAAGGTCTTGGAGAAAGATTCCGAGCCTCGCTGGGCCAACGCGGAGCGGGGCGGGCGCGAGGGCCTCATCCCCGAGAACCGCATCGCCTTCAAGCCCCACCCCTGGTTTTGGGGCAAGCTCCCGCGGGACATCGCCGACGAGGCGTTGGCCAGGCAGAGCTTCGACGGCGCGTTCATGATCCGCGAGAGCGAGAGCGCTCCGGGCGGCTTCTCGCTCTCGGTCAAGACGGGGCCCGACGTGCAGCACTTCAGGGTCTTCCGAGACTTGAGCGGGCACTACTACCTCGGCGCGGCCGCCTTCAACTCTCTGAACGAGCTGGTGCAGCACCATCGGACGACCTCCGTCTCCCGGGACAGAGTCATCCTCCTGCGGGACATGGAGCAAGGCCCTCGGTACCCGACCTACGTGCGGGCGCTGTTTGACTTCCGGCCTCAAATGGCGTGCGAACTGGGCTTCCGACGTGGAGATGTCATTCGGATCCTGGACGATTCCGACCCCAACTGGTGGAAAGGAGCCTGCGAAGGGCGGAGGGGCATGCTGCCCCACAACTTCGTGGCCCCAGTGAAATGGGATGGGTGTAGCACCGGTGGTGGTGATGCTGGCGTGCGGGAGAGGGGATACACTTGGCCTTCCACCTCCCATCAGCTCTGACCATTGGGCATGCTGGCTGGGGCTGAAGGGAGTTGTAGGTGGGCTTCCTCTGGAGGAAAGGGGAAGCAAACAGATTCCACACCCCCTGGCTTAAAAACACACACACACACACACACACACACACACACATCTTAACTGGCACCAATTCACTGGACTCCTGCGATAAACAAGTGTACCAGTCAGTTTATCCTGTGCATGGATTTCAGTTATGAGCTGCTCTGAAAGGATTAGAGGTGAGGAAGGTGGAGAGAGAGGGTCTCCCCTTTGCTCGCCCACCCTGCCAAGTCACAGGGCTGTTTTGAGACATTTTGGACAATAGCCAGATCAACTACAAGGACAGTTGTTTCCTCTATTCTTAAATTTGTGGTTGAACACATTCTGGTATTTATTTATTTTTTCCACAAAGCTGTGTTGTTTTTAAAAGTTTCAGAAGGCGGTCCAGAGCTTTTCAGGTTCCGTTGTCCCCTCATTTGTGTAAATTCTTTTTAGCGGGTGATGGAGAGAAACGCAAGTTTTAGCATGAAATAAATCGACCAGGTGGTACTTCATAAAACGTTTTGTAAGTATCTGATCTTTGTGACCAAGTGGGGAATGGCGAAATCTCTTCCGTATGGATTGGCTATTTGTGAAAAAGAGGCCTATTTGAGCAGAGTGTTTCCTTGCAGCAGAGGCAATGTAAAACAGCTTGGGCATTTTCTTTTCATTCAGGCAGCCTCTTTTCATTCATTATTCTCATGTGGAATAGGTGGGTGACTTATTGGTTGGAGTCACCATCATTCCTAGGCTCTTCTCCTCTCAGCAGCCAGCAATCCGTGGTTTACTGGACAGCTAGGAGCAATGAAATGGGAGAAAACATGGCTAGAGCATATAATGATGATCTCATGAGGGATCACCTTTTCTGCCTCATTAATAATAATAATAATAATAATAATGTAATTTTATTATTTATACCCCGTCCATCTGGCTGGGTTTCCCAGCAGCAAAGTAAAATTACTTCTGTGCTAAGAAGGGCTGGTGAGAACTCTTTCCCATCTGACCATCAAGTGGGTAATTTAGAACACAGACCCTGGAGAAATATTGGGGGAAGCATTGCAGAACAACTGCTAAAGCAGAATGGTGTGTGGATGGGCCAGTAGAAATCCAACACCAATTCACTATTACTGCATCAGTAGAATATTTCAGAATATACCCACAAAAATCACAGGGACCACAGGATTGCAGGAGTGGATGGGTATGTACACACACACACACACACACACGCACCCCCTCCAAATTACATAATTGCAATTGGCATGTTTTCACATAAGACCCACTTTTCCTCACAAAAGCAACATTTCACTTTCTGCACATGAATGTCTCCTGCCCTGAAATAAAACAATACTGTTGAATGTTTTACTTTTTAAAAATGAGTGGGGAACCTTCAGCCCATAGACCAAGATGGTTGGACCATGAGGCTATTTCCCCCCTAAACCCTGCCTGCCTGCCAGTCAGCTGACATCACTGGGTAAGGTCAGCTGATGGGTCTGGGGGGTGGGGTTCCACCCTGCTGGGGTGCTGCTTCACCAGTGCTTGTCTTTTTCTCATTTGAATTGTTGCGGCCCCCCCCCCCCCCGCTTTTAAAGGAAAATGAATTTCCCCTTCTGGGGGTTCACATACGATGCTGTAACCACTTGGCAACTGCAGTTTCTTTCCATAGGTATTTGCTTTAAAGCCTTCAAAAGTACAGAATCTGACTGGATCTCTGCTTCTTCCCCAGTCCATGAATAACACTTTGTAAATACTTTGTGAAGTTGTTCAAATATATCCTGGCCAAGTGCATGGCTCATCAACTGCAGAAGAGGCCTCCCTGCCTCTGGCTCTTCGATAAAAATGTTCAGACGGTCTGATCTGTGTGCTGACTCCCAGTTTCTGACTGAAGCTTTGCAAACAGCCTAGGGATGTGGTGTGGTTACGCCTCTCTGTGGATTCACTCGAGTATAATTAATATGCTTTCTTGCAGGCAGATCTGTTAACAATTTAAAGCACACAGTTTTGAGAGTAATACCCCAGAGGGCAGTCGGGCAATAGCATTGCTGTGGATATCTCTGCTTGTTTTGTGGCTCAAGAGAAGGAAGCAGCCCTTCGTGTTTTAGTAATTTGTGTCCTATTGTGAGGGGGGTAACAGTTCAAGGCTGTTACACATCCCGTTCAGTTCTTAAGAGTTCCCCATTCGCCTTTCTTCCAGGGCATTTACACGCTGCAAAACACTGCTAGCACAAACTTGTCCCCAGTATGTTTGTGGCAGAGCAGACTGTGCATGCTCAAAGCTGCTTTGGCTCCTTTTACTTGAGTGCAAAGTGCTTTTGTAGGGTAGGCAAGGTAAAAAGTACTCTGCCTATCTTTCTCTATGGCAGGCATAGGCAAACTCGGCCCTCCAGATGTTTTAAGACTACAACTCCCATCACTCCTGACCACTGATCCTGTTAACTAGGGATGATGGGAGTTGTAGTCCCAAAACATCTGGAGGGCCGAGTTTGCCTATGCCTGTTCTATGGCCATTTAAAAACATAATGTTTAGGCACATGCAATCCTTTGAAATGGTGGCAGCAGAGAAATTGGGCCCTTCCAGACAGCCTGTTTGTTGAGCACTCATCCTGATTTACTTGCAGAAAGCTTATGTGGAGGTTAGATTTTATACAGATGTCTGTTTTGAGGAGCGGGGAACAGGGGAGAACAAGATTCTCACCCCACAGCAGAAAAACCCACACGTACTTTTGCTTGCAGGTACATCTGTATGTACCTTAAGTTTTCAGCATCAGGCAAAGCCCCAGAAGTTTGAAATCTGCTCATTTGGACTCCTGACACAGATAACTGGAAGTGAACTGAGCCACAATATTATGACGCAGCAGTTGCAAAAAATACAGTCAGACAACAGCATCCGCCTAGCGTGCAGGCAGCCCTGCTGCTTGTGCAAGAGGGCCAAAACTAGGGCAGGGAATTAATCTCCCAGGGCCACTGGGAAAAGGAGGCTTAGCTGGCCGAGAATAACGGCACTCTCGCCGAAGGGCGTTCCGTACGGAGGAGACACGAGGCTTTCGGATCACTCATCATAATGTCACTGCAGAGAGTGAGTCAGCATGAGACAGACATGGGGAGTGCCAGCATGGAGGGAGTAGGACTGCTTGTGTCAGCAGCTTTCCCTCTCTGCCTTCTTCCAGAAAGGCATCTCATTTCAGCTGGGGATGAGAAGCTTATTCCAGGGAGAAACCTAGTGGAGAATTTATTACTGAATTTGAATTTGACTGTAAGAGCTGTTGGACAGTGGAACAGATTTCCACAAGAGGTGGTGGAGTCTCCTTCCTTGGAGGTTTTTAAGCAGAGGTTGGAAGGCTAATAATAACAATAATAATAATAATAATAATAATTTTATTATTTATACCCCACCCACATCTGGCTGGGTTGCATTGCCTTTATACCTCACCCATCTGGCTGGGCTGCCTTACAGGGGGTTGGACTAAATGGCCCTTTGCGGTCCCTTCCAATTCTATGAAATGATTTCAGATCAGTTTGTTTTGTTCTTTTACTGCTTGTGGCCATGTGCAAAAGCTAGTGCAGATGCCCACTGGAACTGTATGGACATGAATATCAGCGCTACAGCAGCACAGCATGCAACTCTGGGTGGAGCATTTTGGAACCTGATTTCTCCCAATTTATCCGATTATTCCCATATTGGGTAAACCTAAATTTACAGGGGGGAAGCATCAAGACTGGTAGTGTTTGAGAGTAACAGCATGTGGACTGCACAAATTAAATAGGAAACAGCTGCAGGAACACAGTAAACTGTGGTGTGTAGACAAGCCTCTAGTCATTGAACTCTTAAAGGCAAAAGAGTCCAGCCAGTACAAAAGGAGGTGAAATTAAATCAGGAGCTGCTAACTTACATCCCTCTAGGATCATACAACTCCCACCACCCCAAATTATTTTCCCCCAAATATTTTTTATTGGTTTTCATGTAAATCCAATAGCAACATATAACAGCAGTAACTTGTCCGGTGGTAGTCTCTATTAAGTTTCATATGCATGACAGTACACAAGCAATATGTTTTATTTATGCATTATCAAGTATCCTTTCCACAGAGATACTTGCGTTGTGGGTAGAATGAAACACTCTTCTGTCTCATTTATAAAGGAAAAGAAGGGAAGCCAAGTCTCGCCAAAAGTGTCTCTCCTTGAAGTGCCTTTAATTACCCTTCTGTGGCAAGTACAGTGGTACCTCGGGTTACAGACGCTTCAGGTTACAGACTCTGCTAACCCAGAAATAGTACCTCGGGTTAAGAACTTTGCTTCAGGATGAGAACAGAAATTGTGTGGCGGCAGCAGGAGGCCCCATTAGCTAAAGTGGTACCTCAGGTTAAGAACGGACCTCCAGAACAAATTAAGTTCTTAACCCGAGGTACCACTATAAGGTGTTCCGCTAGAGCTACATTCCAAATACTATTTAACCAGATTTCAATGGGGATTTCTATAGGTCAGGGGTCTGCAACCTTTAAGACAAAAAGAGCCACTTGGACCCGTTTCTGAAGAAAAAAAAACCTGAGAGCCGCGAAACCATTGCGACATTTAAAACAAATATATCTCCGGAGCCGCGATCTGACAACGGATGGGAAGGTGACGTCGGGACGGTGCGTGACTAACGCACGCACCGCCCCCATGCGACGTCACAGCCAGTACAGCACCCGCCACAGTGTGGAGTGTTGGGGCGCACAATGCACCTCCTCCTCTCGCTAGTATCCGCCCCAGAGCCGCGGCAAAGGTATAAAAGAGCCACATGCGGCTCTGGAGCCGCGGGTTGCAGACCCCTGCTGTAGTTTGTTTCTAGTACTGGGCTATTGTTAAACAGGCTGCTGATAATAGGGGAAAAAGTACTAAATTTCTGCATTTAAGGTTATTGTTTAAATTTGAGTCTGATGATAATAAGTCAAGAACCGAATTGGCCACCACCCCTAATTATTGACCTTGAAGCATTACTGCTCAAACCACTTGGAAAGAAAGGAAAATGGCTCACGTATGCTGATTTATTAAAGGAACATGATGGAAATTAAGAGATGATGATGAGATCAAAGACCACTTTCAGAGTTGGTTGCATTATCGACAACTATATGAAACACATAAAGAAGACAGTAAGAAAGGATTTAGTTATACTAGATCTAGGTTTCAAACGGAAGTGATTGAAGAGAAAGTGAAACTACTGAAGGTCGCATACAGCATACTATTAGAATGGGAGATGAAAGATGAAGAGGTAAAATCAGTTATGATTAAATGGGCACAAGATGTAGGTCACAACATTATGATGGATGATTGGGAAAAATTATGGAAAACTGACTTAAAATTTACAGATTGTTCCCTACTGAAGGAGAATTGCATGAAGATGATGTACAGATGGTACACAATACCAGTGCAGTTAGGGAAAATGTACAAAACTAGTTCAAATATATGTTGGAAGTGTAAGGAAAAGGAGGGGACATTTTATCATATGTGG